TCCTCCCGCTGGCACAGACTTTCTAGATTCCACCACTGACCTTTGGGCCTTCCAGCGCAGATCCATGAAGCAGGCCTGCATGAGACATTGTCATGGACTCTAGGCCTCCAGCTGGACTCATGGGAGGCATCATTATGGGCTCTAGGTCTTCAGCTGAACTCATGAAGGACATTACTGTGGGATCCAGGCCCTCAGCTGGATTCTTTGGTCTTTAGTGTGTGGACAGATATCCTGCATTCTCTTTCTGTATGTGATCTCTGGGTGACTATTATAGATAATCGTATAAAACGTGTCCTGTGTTGCTTCCCCTACAAAATCCCAAACTACAGCACCTACCAAGTGTAGTTTTAAGCCTACTTCTTTTTATAAACTTGCTCTTGCAGGTGCTCTTATGTCCATTATTTGGAATTTGGAAGAAATAAATCATTTTATTGTTCAGCTAGACCTGTAGTAGCGAAAATCTGGTAAAGCAAAGCAGGCTAGTATAGTTCTCATTATTTCTTACAAAAGCTAATGAGTAATTTCTTTGCTCCAGTTCAGGATTGAATCTAAGACAAACTGCTAGCTGGACCCAACTCTACATTGGAGATACTAATAAAAAAAAACCTGGTTCAAAAATAGAAATATGGCTGGGCATGGTGGTGCACACCTGTAGCCTGTAGTCCTCTCACAGCAAGACCTAATAGAAGAAGGGAAGGAGGGGTGGAGGGAAGTAGGAAAAAAGAGACAGAGAACAACAGATATATAGCATAAAAATTTAAAAATTAATCCCAGCTAATTTTTTTCTTACTCTGTGGTTTACGGGTACATATATATATATACTGTCAGGAGCTGCTGTCCACAAGGCCAAGTGACAGAGTGCTAGACCTGTAAGGAATGATAAATTCTAGCTTGAAGTGAAGTGAGAGGACAGGTAAGAAAAGCTGCGAGCAGATATGAATGAGGAGAGTTGCAGACAATGACAGGAGTTGTGTCACAGAAGTACAGTCGTATGCTTTGGGTGTGTGCTGACTAGAATGTTCTTATTTCAAAAACAGAAAGAGCGAACTCTTAAATAAACTTAATTTCCAAGAATGCAAGGCATAATAATGCTTTACTCACATATAGATATAAACTCTTATTTAGGATGACAAGTTCTTTTTTACAATTCTCTTGGTTGAAAAATTTATAGTAATGCTAGCTTTAAAATAAAATTGCCTAAATATTTTAATTGACATGTTTTATGCATTTTGCTAAAATAATATATTTAGAACTCAACACCAAATGTGTTACTATTGGTTTGTGTACAATACTTTTAAATGAAATTATCATGTTTCTATCTAGGGACATAAAATGGGGGTGCTACAACAAGTAAAGAAGAGGGTCTTTTAGTTCTTTTAAGCTCAGTCACTTCCAATGAAAACTAGTTCGGTTGTCTTGGGTTTCTAAATATTGTACTTTAAAAGATACTGTACTAGGTCAATCTTTTCCAAAGTATATTTTTCAGAGTACTGTCCCTTTCCTGCATGCTTAAAATAAATTCCCAAAGTCACATAGGTCTTGGAAAAGCTATATTTTTAAATACCTCTCTCAGAACTTTACAGTTTGCATCAGTATATAAAGGTTCTGAGATATCCCGTGATAAATTTATTTAACTTTACCTCACTATTTCCAAAATTTACTGAATTATGGAAACTTCTTTGGGATAATATCTATTAATATGCTAAAGAATTAGTGTTCCCCCAAACACAATTTAGGAATAACTGGAGAGAAATTGTGAACTGCTTAAAAAGAGATTTTTTCCATTCCTAATATTCCTAATATTACAGCAGACATAAATGAACTTAGGTATAGTGCAACCAGTATGACCTTGATTACTCTAGTGTTCATAATAGAATTTCAATTCTTTAAAGTCACTGAACTCTGCAAATAAAATGTCATTGTCTAGGTTTTGTCAGAAGTCTGCATTTCCTTAGGAGTTCCCAAAGTACTGATGGTCCACAGATTACCACTGTCACCACCAGCTGTCTTGGCCGGGCCGCTGTGGCTTCTGCTGTGGATCCCAGCTTACCACCACTTGCATTCTCTAAACTGGTTTCTCCAGGATACTCCGCTTGATTTTATCACTTCTCCCCCTGAGGAATCTTCCCTAATTTTCCAAAGAATGGAAAATAAGTAATGTTTACTACAACATTTCTGAAAGCTCAGGCATACTAGTAGTATAATGTAGACTCCCTTGCATTGGCTTCTAAACGTGGCTAATGAAACATTAGGCTTCCCATGGGCGAGGGAACAGTAAGCACCACCCTACCCACCCCCCACTGGGAGCTTCCAGGCACTTCTTGACCCCGGAACCCCAGAGACTGTCATCCTGGGGCAGGAAAGGAGACAGACCTCAGAAAGGGAGGAAGGACTTCTTTTTTCTGGGTCCAAACTTTTAAGCTGTCAACACCTATATCTTGAGGCAAAACTTTGTCTACAGTCTGTGAAATGTAGCCTGTGCCCTGAGACTAGACAAAGCATTACACTAGGTGCCTTTTCCCAATTTAGCTTATTTTATCATGTGATCCTGCATTAACTCCTTACAATCTGATGAACCACAGTAACATTTGTATTAGTCCTTCCCTTTGGTGTGAGAAACAAGCCTCTATCTATTTCTTTAATTTCATAATCTCTTATGAGCAAATGCTTGGGCCAAAAAGGGATGTACATATGCATGGTGCATACACACCTTCACTCATCCAGGAACAAACCATACTTTTCAGGCAAGGGGAAGACTCCAGAGATACGAAGGATAACAGTACAGTATTCTTGGAACTGTAGGGTTTAATTCAGTGAAGAGGGATCCAATCTACAATGGCAGAACACTTTTGCCAATACAGGGTCAGACTTTAGGAAAAATTATTATTTCCTTTATACTTTTCAAGCTAAAGAGACCAATTTTGACAAACTGAATTCCAATAACTTTGCTTAAAAGCTAAACTGATGTCTCTAAGAAAAGCTTTAGCATTGCATTCTTTTTTCAGGGGAAAAAAATTGATGTGCACCAATCATTTCCTCCTGGTTCTTGTCCAGAGTCACTTCTCCAATAACTTAGGTATTAGCAAAATGAGTTTCTGATCAAAATTTGATACTACAATATATACCTTATGTAGCCTTTTACTAGGAGAACTTTCTCAGTGTACTTACTGCTAGGGTTTGAAAGTTTGTTCTTTCCAAAACTCATGCAGAATTTAATTGTTATTGTAAAAGTTTTAATAGTTGAGACCGTTGAGAAATGATTAGATTCTGCCCTGTGGATGAGATAAATTCTGTTATAATAGGGCAACATGGATCCCCTCTGAAGTTTCTTTCATTATCTCACCTCTCCCCATTTAAGTGTTCAGGACAACATCTTGGAACTAGAATTGCCAAACCTGCCCTCAGCATGGTGCCCTGATATCAGACTCCCCAGCCTCCAGAAGTGTGAGCCAGTAAATTTCTGTTCGTTATTAATTACCCAGTCTGGGGTGTTTGGTTACAGCTGCACAAAAGAGACTACAACATCTGCGTAGAGCTTTCTTATTTTTCCTTTTGAAAGAATGCAGTTTGTGCTTATCTGCTGTGGTGTGTGGCACAGGAGACTTGATACAGCAGTGCATCACAGAAATTAGGGGTATGTGATGGGTGAGGGTTGGGTTGAGGTGAGGCTGCTGTCTGCTAGTGATATATCCTGGGGAAGCTACTGGATCTCCTGGCAGTTTTCTCATCGATAAAGTTGGTGGGCCTACCCGTAGAATTGTGAGAGTGGGATAAGCCTATAAATCCCAGACCTTAGAGCATAATAAGCACCATCATATCATCATTATGAGGTGGAGAGGAGAGCTGCCAGAAGCAGGCACTGTGACAACAGTAAGACATGACTATTTTTAGCCAGATAGTGAGAAGTCACCATCTGTTTAGGAATCTGTTCTAGAATTTTCTTAGCACCTATGTTAAGTAGTCTTAATTTTTTTAATTCATCTTGTAGCCCATTCTGAAAATAAGGGGCATTAGCCAATCTCTCCTGTAAAATCCCGACTTCACAAATTTCTGTGGTTTCTGGTCACCCTTTACAATTACCCATCATTCCATTACTCTTGGTTGTAATTTTCAATTGGCCTAAAAACTGCCACTAATTTAAAATAGCAGGGGCTGGGGATTTAGCTCAGTGGCACAGCACCTGCCTGGCAAGTGCAAGGTCATGAGTTCGATTCCCGATACCAGAAAAAAAAAACGAAAATAAAATAAAATAAAATAGCAATGTGAGATCTGATTCTTTCATCCACTGTTTATTTCTTACATCCCTCTTTGATATGGTTCCTCAATCTTATTTCAGTCTCAAATTAAGTTCAATTAACAAAGAACCTCAAGTTGAGTAGTTCAGACTTTCAGCTTTGAACAACATTCTCCTTCCACCTTGTTAGTCTTTCTTTGATTACTTACTCCAAATAATTTTTCCCTAGAAAAACCTTATTTTTGCTACTTTAGCATATTATATGAACTTCTAAATTTCCCAACAGTCTTCTGACAATTATTAAATTTTATTTTGAATTGTATGCTATGTCTATTTTAAACATGTCTGTCTTTTTAGAAACTAAGTCTTAGTTTAGAGTCTCTTATTTGAGAGCTAACTCTATGCAACCACATAGGTTTCGCTAATTAAAATCACATATTCATTCCCCTTGAATCATGTTTTAATAGTCTCTGACTATGAAATCACAGGTCTACTTTCTTATCACCCACGGTAGATACTTTATCATACCCAAGGTTACTTCATTTCCTAATCATATCCAAGAACTCCTAGGTGTCAGGGTTCTCTTCTACCTGATCAAGTTCTATAACTTCCAATCAGAATTAAGCTGAGCAAGAGTTTCCCTCACTGCTTTCTCACTGTCGAAGCGATTTAATGATCATATGTGCTAATGAAAAATCTCTCAGTTCTCCCTTTCCTACATGCTTAAGGTTACCATCAAAACTTTAGTAACATTTGAGATATTTTCTCTTTGAACAAAGTTTTCCAGTGAGTTACAACCAGCATTGTTCAATGAAATAAAAGAGAAAGTAAGTAAATATAATAGAAAGATAGCTGAGTGCTCTGCAATGTAGTACGAAGAACTGACACTTTTGTTTCAGCTTTGTACATCTATTGCATTGTGTGCTCTTGCATGATACAAAAAGTGTTTTATGGTGTGGGTCATTGACCAAAAACTTTGAAAACAGCCATTTTAGATAGTGATGAATGATTTATATTGCCATAATAAAATTATAGAGCATAATTTTAGACTAAATTGTTTAACATATATATGCATATGTACATGTAGTATATAATATTATAGTACAAAACATTGAAATATAACTATTTTGTTCATTTTTATCACTCATTTTTTGATAGACATTAGCTTAGAAATTTAGCAGGTGTATGTTAGCTAAAAATATATGATAATTTATTTTTAGGTTCCCTTTAAGAAACGCAATCTTTCTTTTATTTTTATTTATTTGGTTTTGTTTTTCCAGTACTGGGAATCGAACTCACGACCTTGCGCTTGCCAGGCAGGTGCTGTGCCACTGAGCTAAATCCCTAGCCCCATGGAACACAATCTTTCTGAAAGATATTTATTCCTAGATTTCAGATATCAAGTAACTTATTGAATTAAATTACTGAACATTGGTAGACATCAAGCAACACATGAAAATGTTCCACAGTTTGAGTTTTGCATTTCCAATTTTTTTATAGTGTGACTGGTGGTCACATGGTAAAGCAGCAGAATGTACCTTCCAACCACTGTACGATACGCAGAGCACCCAGAGAAGTGACTTCCGAAGACCAACATGTCCTTTGGTCTTGCCGGTCAAACACAGCAGACTGCAGAAGCCTTCTTGTGGAATAGGTAAGGTTAGTGGAAGTAAAATCTCATTTTTATTATCTCAGTATACTATTATCAAATTAAGATGTGTTAGATGTGATGATGCCGCCCGAGCAAATTACTTCTCTGTAGGAGTTAAAAACACAGCAAGAGCACCCCTTGACAAACGTGTTTTCCCTTCCTAGTGGACATCTTGTCTCCAGACATGCTTAATATACATAATGAAATGTATGGTGATAATACAGCCTCCATGTCAGGAACTTAGTAGCATTCTTCTTATTATTGTTGCCACCAAATATTTTAATTGCCAAGTTTTAAAATAGTAGGTAGCCCTATCTGGCAGTGTCTCTCAAGGTGCACCCTGAGGAGCACCAGGCTTATGCTGTATAATCTTCACAGACATGGCTCAAAAATGGGAAGCAGCAAAATAAGTTTTTCAAATTTAAATTCTAAAGGTTGAACATTGCTTTAACTTATAGAACTCTCACCTCTCTTATTTCTAAGCGTAAGTGTAATGAATTTCCAGGAGTGAGAATAAAAACGTGGTATCTCCCCACTTCCTGATCACCTCGCCCTTACTGAACTCCCTTTACATGACCAGTGTCCCACAGAACAGAATTTGGGAAATACCATTACCCAGACTGTTAAATAAAATATTTTTATATTTAAAATTTATGTCACCTGACAATGTCATTATAATAAGTCACATTTTATTAGAGTCACATCTGGTTCCTAGTCTACATTCGAGTCATTTTTGCCTCTCAACTAGAATTTAGCAAGTTTTAAACAAGTACAGGATCAAGTCAGCTTAAAAAAATGCATGTACTGAGCACCTACCCTAGTCTTCATCCCGTACCAAAATTCGTAAGCTAAACTTCAAATAAACTCTGTAATAACGCAACAGTTGTCAACAAAAGATTCTAAGGTATGATCAAATTATGTAAGTCCTGATAGGCTGGGTCAGTAAGCACAGAAGACAGGAACAAATGGACAGTAGACGTCAGAGGTTACTCTAAAATCTCTCGGCAGCAGTTTTAGTCATGAGCTCTCCAGCCTCTCTTAACATTAGGACTACAAGAGCCCAGTGCTCTGACCACATCAACTACCACAGCAGTTATTCTGGAGAATAGTGCCAGTCCCTATCCTATTTTAGACAGACTGGGCAACCAAAGGTTAGAACTATACCGAAATAAAACATTAAATTAAATTTAAAAACTTTTTAAATTTTTAAAAAAGAACTCTACCAAAATAACTTTTCTTGTTTTGAAAATATTTAAAGAATAATGGCAAGGAAATATCAGAGAATAAAGCAAGAAAACAAAAATCTAGAAAACATGAGAGAAGCAAAGAAAATGGAGGATTAGCTTAGGAAGCCCAACTTTTCTGGAGGTGAGAAAATTATCAGAACACAGTATTTGCTGGACACTTTGCAGAACTTTCTAAATAGAAACTAATGTAGCTCTTACCCAAACCCAATGTAACTCAGAGTAATAATACTTTTTTTATCTTTCTGAGACAGGGTTTCACTATGCAGTTCAGGCTGGCCTTGAGCTCACTTTGTAACTCAGGCTAGCCATGAACTCACTGCAATCCTCCTGCCTCTGCCTTCTGAGTTCTGGGATTATAGGCGTGCACCACTATGCCTGGCAATAATGCTATTATTATTCTCATTTTCAGACAAAGTACAAGGAGGCAAAATTTAACCTGTACCCTTTTAAGGTGTTTTGGCTAACAATTAAATCGACGCAAAGACCAACACAAGAAAAGCGTGCTAACATACTTCAAAGAAGTTTTATGGACCGCAGGAGTGCTGTGGTTTGGATCTGGAATATCCCCCGAGCCTTGTGTGCTGTGGAGGGGCTGGATTATGGGGTGCTACGGCTGACTTGCTGTTAGCAGGGGGGACCCGGCTGGAGGTGACCTGGTAACGGTAGATCGCGCTCTCCGCCTGCCTCCTCCTTACTCTGCTTCCTGGCTGTTGTATGGTCAGCAGCTTTTCTCCATGACAGGCCCTTTCGCACGCATCTGAGCCTGCCATCCGCGGACTCAAACTCATAAAACCGTGAACCAAGATAAACCTCTCCCCTTTTAAGTTGTGAGGGTCGGGTACTGTGTATGAGTGAGCAGGAAAGCGCCTGAGAAAAGGAAGTCACACATGGAGATGAAGACCCGCAGAAGCAGAGTCGAACCCTGCTAGGCTGAGCTGCACAGAGCTGTAAAGTGTAAAAATGTGAAAAAGCAAAGGAACCCGGGCTTGGGCTGTCAAACTGGGTGAGATGAGTAGTTGGTGGAGAAGAATTTACTAAGGTTTATTTGTACAGATTTCCTTCAGGCTCGTTTCCTGTGTTTGCTGATAAGAATGATACCTTCCTTCTGGCAGAGGGAGGACATCTTTACATAGGAATTTCACCTCCTTTTAGAGAAAGAAGAAAGCTCAGAATGTTTTTCTTGCACCCACTGTTTCTCAAGTGCCTTTAACTCGGTGGAGTCAACATACCAGAGCCGCGTATTTTAGAGCGACACATTGAAAACTCCTTCAAAAGCAAGCATAGAGTTTAAACAGCATGCTCAAGGCTACACAGTGAATCACTGTTCTGGAACCCAGATAGCCTGATTCCAGACCTGCACTCATGACTGGTACTCCGCACACCCTCTGCAATGATGACGGCTCCTGTCTATCAAAGGCACTGAAATGGTCCACCGAGTGTTTTACACATGAATGAAGAAATACACCCTATACATCATTGCGAAATCCCAAAGCCATCGTGAAGTCTAAGTTTCCATAAAGAGAAAGAAAAGTGTCACTGTGAAATGAGTAAGAATTGAACTGAAGTCAGGCAGCACTGATGCAAGCTCACAGCAGAGTGAATGTCTTCAGAGTCCACAGGGAGTATTTTTTAACCCAGAGGAGGGTTTACGTGGTGTGGGCCCTAGGGCCGCTTTCTTCAGTGGCACTCAGCACTAACCCTACCTGAGGAGAAGTCCTTCACACTATTAGGCCCTTCAGTTAGTAAACTTCACGTGGTCACTGTGAATGCTGTTTAGTGGCTCTCAGCATCTAGGGCCAATCTGAGATACAGCATGGAAAGTTTAAAAGTGGTTAGACAGCAGAGCGTCTGTCAGTAGCCTTAATAGGTGAAGTAAATATTAGCTGACAGAAGATGGCAAGTACATGAGGAAAGGGGTGCTGGTAACAGTTACCGTATGTATTCCCAATGTAGATGAAACGAAACACGAGTTTAAAGGTCAGTGACCAGTGTGAGAACCAGACTGACGCCTCCAACCCTGGCCTCTTCACTGAGCTCAAATCACTTACCCACCTTCTCAGCATCTCTCTTGGACAGCTAATTGCTTTTCCAGCTCGATATGGCTGGAATCGAAGCTTTCGTTTCCTCCATCCACCCTATGCACCCGCCAGTGTTTCCACTCTCAATGAGCTGGTGCCTTTCCCATTCCCCCAGGTGCTTCGATAATCTAGAAGTCGTTCTAAAACTCTTTCCTTCCTCCTCTACGTTCACCCCATCAGCAAATCTTGACACCACCATCTCCAAAATATATCTGCATCAGTTCACTTTCTTCATTGAAGGTAGTGCAGCCACCGTTTTGTCCGTGGTGCTGAGAGTTGACCCAGGGCCTTGCACATGCTGAACAAGCGCCCTACCACTGAGCTGCACCCTACCCACAGAAGAACGTTTTTAAAACAACGATGTCCCTCCCTCTCCTTCTTTAGGTCCTCCAGTTATTCCTCATTGTTTACAGAATAAATTTCAAATTCTATATTGTGACCTGCAAGGCCCTATTTAGTCTTCCATCTTTACTTACCTTATTTTCTATTGCTTATAATATGGAGATTTAGAGACAGGGAATATAATTCAGACCAAAGAGGAAGAGAAATGCTCTGAAAGGTGGGCGTGTTTACAAACCAACTTATGTCAGGTACATGATATTGCAGCTCTATAATTTAATTAAATATTCTTATAAATTAAAATCTTAGTATGAAAACAGTTATTTCTATAAAGTATTCAAAGTTTGATGCTTTGGAAAAACTTGGAAGGCTAGCCACTAATAAGCACTGACAAGGTATGGGCAAAATAATTGTAAAAGAGAAGCTAAAACCAATTTTTAAAATCTTGAATTATTCTGCACTCATTTTGCTTCAGATGTGTCTTTAAGTTTCATTCTGTGTTAAAGAAATGGAAACTGGAAAGAATGCATTAGGGATGCGGTTTGTACAAGAAACACAAAGTGGAATTCTGATCAGTGGATACTTATAGGAAGTATCACCCCAGGATTGACACGCACCTGTAATGGTGGTACACACCTGTAATCCCAGCCTTTGGGAGGCTGAGACAGGAGGATTGCTGCAAGTTTGAGGCCAGCCTGGGCTACACAGTGAATTCAAGGCCAGCAGGGCTAGCCTGAACTATATAACAAGACCCTGTCTCAAAAAAAGAAAAGAAAGAACATGGTTTGGTACTCCAATAAAAGTTGGTGAATAAACTGGTTAAAGTTAAATGTTTGTATATGTTATTCTTCACTTTTTTTTTTTTTTGGTTTTTCGGTTTTTCTCTGGTACCAGGAACTGAACTCACGACCTTGCGCTTGCCAGGCAGGCGCCTTTGCCGCTGAGCTAAATCCCCAGCCCTGTTATTCTTCGCTTTAACTGACAAGTCCAGTTCACATAAGGAGCAGTGACTTCTAGTCTACTCAAAGAGATGTCAGAAGAGTGGTGCAGGAGAATTCTGGATGAATGGGCTCTGTTGTAGGTTAATTGGGGGTGTGGTGCACACTCTGTCCATTATCTCCCCAAACAGAGACCATGCATCTGTTCTGCTGAGCTAAGCGGTTTTGGCAGAGAAAGAATCCTCCAGCCCCTCTGCCTGGGAGTCCCTCAAGCACTCCTCCACTGGCACTTGCATCCTATACCGCTACTTGTACTCGGCACCTCAGAGGTGTCTGCTGCCTTCCATTCCTGAGCTTTGCTGGAACACTGGGGCACCAGCAGCGTGATGCTCACCGCACTG